TGTGGTTGCAACGACTTCCGCGCGAGATGCTACACATCCTCTGCGCTAGTGAGGATGCATTTTTATCCAAACTGGCCGATACAGCCGACCGAATTTGGGAGTCGTACGGCCAGGTTTCGCAGGTCCAGACGAAACCGGACGATGATATCGCCACGCTTAAATTCCAGATGGCAACATTGACTCGACAATTCGCAGACGTTTCGGCCTCCGGACATAACCACTGTAAATGCTCTAGGAGCCGTTCGCGTTCACGTTCGAACTCTCCTTCGCGATCACCGAATAGAAACGGTTACTGCGGGTACCATGAACGATTCGGCCAGCAAGCTAAATCATGTCGCCTGCCCTGTTCCTTCAAACGACAGCAGCAGGGAAACGGGCGGACCAGCACATAGGGGCGACGGACGTAGCTGGTCAACGCAGTCGCCTTTTCTTCGTCACCGATCGTAGAACCGGAGTTCGCTATCTCGTCGATACTGGTGCAGAAGTCAGCGTTCTCTCGCGTGATCCAAACGACCCGAACGAAAAGGTGACTAGCTTACTGCGCGCAGCTAACGGGACCATTATCCGCGTATATGGTCAACGCTCGCGCACGCTAAATCTCAGCCTCCGACGCGCTTTCAAATGGATATTCCTCGTTGCGGATGTTCAAACGCCTATCCTTGGTCTCGACTTCTTACGTCATTACGACCTACTCGTCGACGTTAAGCGACACCGTCTAGTCGACCGCCTTACGAACCTCGCAGTCATTGGGACTTTGACCGACACCGCGTCAATCAGTCCTGTGTACGCGACTCAACTTAGTTCACCCGTCGGGCAAACGCTGCTCGATAGTTTTCCCCAGGCCTTCCGTCCTGCCGTCCCGTTGTCTTCGGCAACCGACGCCGCGACACATCACATCGTTACGAAAGGTCCGCCTGTGTTCGCAAAAGCCAGGCGCATGACCCCCGACAAGCTCAAAATTGCACGCCCCGAATTCGAGCACATGCTAGACTTAGGCATTATTCGCCCGTCTAAGAGCCCGTGGGCGTCGCCTCTACACATGGTGCCTAAAAAGTCAGGAGACTGGTGTCCATGTGGCGACTATCGCGCTCTCAATAACGCTACTGTCCCCGACCGCTATCCGATTCCGCACATTCAGGACATCACGGCTAGCCTACGTGGCGCCCGTGTGTTCTCGAAGATCGATCTGGTTCGCGCTTACCACCAGATCCCTATAGCCGAGGATGACATTCCGAAAACCGCCATCATCACGCCTTTCGGACTTTTCGAATTCTTGCGAATGCCCTTCGATCTTCGCAACGCAGCTCAGACTTTTCAACGCTTCATAGACTCTGTCACGAGAGGTCTCGACTTTGTTTATCCTTATATAGACGACATCTTAGTAGCTATTTCTTCCAAAGAACAGCACGCGGAGCACCTCAAGATGCTTTTCGAGAGGTTCGCCTCTAATAGCATTACTGTCAACGCTGACAAATGCATCTTTCAGCAACCATCTATCGAATTTTTTGGTCATCGAATTGACCAGCATGGCATACGGCCGCTCGAAGACCGAGTCAGCGCTATTAAGGACTTTCCCGTTCCGACTACTTTGGCCGCCATCCGCCGTTTTAGTGGGATGATCAACTACTACCGTCGATTTCTGCCAGGTTGTGCCGACTTGCTCAGTCCATTGACCGACTTACTTCCTGGACGCAAGAACGGCAACCTCGAGTTAACGCCCGCTGCAACCGAAGCCTTCAAGGCCTGCAAAGAGGCCTTGGCTGAAGCCGTTATGCTTCACCATTTCGACCCCAAAGCTCCACTCAGCGTTGCAGTCGATGCATCGGACACCGCCATTGGCGCCGTCCTGCAGCAATTCACTGAAGGATGCTGGAAACCACTCGCTTTCTACTCCCGACGCTTACAACCGGCAGAAGTCAAGTACAGCACGTTCAGCCGCGAACTGCTGGCAGTTTATTCTACCGTCCGACATTTCAGGCACGTCTTAGAAGGTAATTCGTTCGTTATCTTCACCGATCATAAGCCGCTTATTTACGCCTTTCGAAATCAATCCGCTCGACACTCACCACGTGAGGTTCGTCAGCTGGATTTCGTGGCTCAATTTTCTACTGACCTCCGACACATTTCAGGTCAGAATAACGTCGTTGCTGACGCTCTTTCGCGCGTCTCCGCAATCCACACCGTCGGCCAGGCAATCGACTTATCTGCCATGGCTACCGCGCAACTAACCGACACTGACTGTCAGAACGTCAAACAAGATTCTTCGCTACGAATCACATCGCATCCACTGCCGTCATCTGATGGCACAATCTTGTGCGATACTTCTACTGGACGACCTCGACCCGTCGTCCCAGAAACCTTTCGACGTCTAGTTTTCGACACACTTCATAACATCGCTCATCCAGGCATCCGAGCCACGATCAAGCTCATATCCGAGAGATACGTTTGGCTCGGAATGCAATGCGATCTTAAGCGCTGGGCACGCGGTTGTCTAACATGTCGGCAGGCCAAGATACAGCGGCACGTGTCCGCTCCGCTTGGTCGTTTTCCGCAAGTCTCAGCTCGCCTCGCCCATGTCCATCTCGACATAGTTGGACCCTTGGCACCATCCAGAGGAATGGTCTACATTCTGACCATGATCGACCGATACACCCGTTGGCCCGAGGCCGTACCTATACCCGACGTATCCGCGGACACCGTAACACGCGCTTTCGTTGAGCGCTGGGTCGCTTCACATGGCTGTCCAGCCACCGTGACTACCGACCGCGGTCCGCAGTTCGAATTCTCGACCTTCAACGATCTTCTCAAAGTCCTCGGATGTGAACGCATCCGGACTACCGCCTATCACCCGCAATCCAACGGCATGGTGGAACGTTTCCACCGACAGCTGAAGGCCTCACTTAGTGCCGCTAATGCACTAAGCTGGACCGAAGCACTGCTTATGATACTACTTGGTATCCGATCAGCTCTTAAAGCTGATTTGCACACGTCCAGCGCCGAACTGGTATGTGGACAACCTCTTCGACTACCTGGGGACTTCTTTTCTGGAAACCCCAGAACACCCCGCTACGACACGAATTACGCTCGGCAGTTAGCCACGAGCATGCGCCATATCAAAGTAACCGACGTGCGAGAACAACGACGTAAATCGTTCGTTCCACATGATCTACTTCATTGCGCTTACGTTTTCCTTCGAGTCGATGGTCGACGCGGACCACTCGAACGACCCTACGAAGGTCCATTTAAGGTTCTTAAACGTAAGGACCGCGTATTCGTTATCGACCGCCACGGTAAACGTGAAACTGTCTCTATCGACCGTCTCAAGGTTGCCCATGTGGAATCTGAGATCGACGATGACTCCCGTCCATCTTCGGACGAGTCAACGCAGCCTATGATCGACGACACGCCTACTTCCGATGCTACGAAGCATTCTCTGACTAACTCTTCCGAGTCAGTTCCTTCCGATTCTATCGAGCCGAAAGCTTCCTCATCCGACAAAACTGCTGGATCGACAACGCCTCCGACCGAACGTCCGAAATCGACTAGGTCAGGTAGGCGGGTTCATTGGCCAGCGCGATTAAAAGACTAGTCTTCTTTTCATTCTTCCTTTCCCGCTTCCCTTTTGCTTGTGGCCTAACCCGCCCAACAAAACGGCAGTTTTGAAAACCCAAAAAATTCGCAAAGCGTTTTGAAAACCCCAAAAACCGCAAAAACGTTTTGAAAGCCTAAAAAAGGAGAAAATCGTTTTGAAAACACAAAATGCTTCTCGCTTTATTCGCTTATCGCACTCGGTAAGTGCTATCGCCTTTTGTTAGCTCTGTCGCTCACACCTGTTTGACACTCCTTCTTTTTCATATCCCCGATACGCGGACGTTCAACGACAATCGAACGTTACGTTTTCGGACACTACTTGCTCAAACATCATGTGCTGTGACACTACGCACTCGAACGCTACGAATATTTCCCCCATTTTGTGTTTTTGGCACCTGTAGGGAGGACACGGGTGGGAGCCCCCCTAGCGTCCGATCGCATTGGTTCTCCCCCAGCAACTGCATCAGGTTTCACCGCCTGGTCTCGCAGAAAGCTGCCCGGCGACGGACAGTCCTCGCGTAGATCGAAGGGTCACCTACGGTTCCCTTATAAGAGGGGGGCTGTGTAGTGACCTGGAGATTCCTCTGTTTGGCTGCCGCATGCTGCGTAAAATATTACAAAATCACAAAATTATATTTTCTCGATGTACACAGCAAATTAGCCGCTCGCCTGTTTGAACGTTGCTCGCGTTTGTTTGAGTCAACATAGCATCCGCCTGCGAACGACGCGACGCTCATCGGCTCCTCGGCCATCTTTGCTCTCCGCGCACGCGACCACACCTTTCTCCTAGCTAGCTATCTTCCGGTGCCTTATTTTTAGCACTAGATAGCGTTTCGCCCCACTTAATAAATTTTTTCTAGCGTTGCTTTTGGTGTTCTCCACTCATCGGAGGTTGGCCTTATATTCGCGTATTGGTTCTAAAGTGTACCGATCCTGCTTCTCACTTTATTCTCTTTCCCCTCCGGTGGCTTTCCATCCTTACAACCTCCACCATTTTGCTTATTATCCTTTTTATATTTTTTCGGAATATTATTTTGTTATGTTGCGGCATGATTGCTGGTTCGCCTCGCCGTGGTGCGATTGTCATGGTTACTCAGCCGTCTGGACCAAACTTACCTAAGTCTTAAGAAGGTTATTTAGTGAAATAATGAATGATGTGAAAGTTGTGCGTTCGCTCTTTTCGTTCTTTATTTTGCTTCCTCTCCTGGCTGACCTCGGTCATAGGTTACCCATTACTCCGAAATGCTACCACTCGTGTGTCCCAAATTTGTGTTCTTTCCGTAACGGAATTTTCCATGCAATTTTGCCGACTCGTTTTTTGTTTCTTATGTGACCATCTTTGGATGACCTACTCACTATACTTTACTTGCTTCCTCTCAGATTCGAAACTACGTTATTGTTCTGTTTCAGCTTAAAATTTCTCTGAACTATGCAACTCCTCCCTCCACCTTGTCATCAACATAAAAAGGGATGGACAACTGCTATCTATGATAGAACTGGCGGGTAAGTACCTTCAGTTGAATTTCCATTAAGCCTTAGACGTATCATATCAGCTGGTGTAGATGGAAAAGTCAAGGTCTTGGACAGTGTGGATGACTCCTGTCCCATGGAACACGTTATTGGTGAGAAGATAAATGCTCTTGTTGTGAGGGTAAGGTTGAGTTTGCATTTGGGCCGTCTAATCACTTGCTTATAGGAAGAAACGATTATTTTGGCCACCGAGGGTACTTATGTACACATCATACATCTGGAGGATGGTCTCCCTGAAGGCCTAGCAACCCGATTCACAGCTGAGGTTATGCATGTTGCCGTAAACAAGGACGGATCCAGGCTTGCCACTTGCAGCAGGTATTTTGCAATATCTCTTTCACCTTTTAGCGATTTTTTAATTAAGGTTGTAAACTTCCCTTCTTCTGAAGACAGAGAATTCGTTCTCGAAGGTCATACTGGAGGAGTGCTAAGCGTCGCCTTTGATCCCTTGGATATTTTTCTCGCATCTTCCTCTTGCGATGGAACTGTTCGTATTTGGCGACTTGATCAACGACGCGAAGTCAAAGTTATTCGCTGTTTGTCCTCCTGCAATGACCCAGCTCTCGCATTAAGCTTTTGCCGATTGTGCTGGCAGTTGCCTAGTGGAAAGGTTTACCTCCTTTTCCATGACTTACCATCTCACCAACTTGGTTTTAGTTCTTAGCAGTTCCCGTTGACAGGCAGGTGTGCCTTTACGAACGGGATACTTGGGAAGTCCTGTGTTACCTTTCTTGCCCGTCATTTACGGAACCCATTACATCATGCGTCTCATCGTTCGACGGTGCTCTATTGGTTGCCGGATCGGACGGAGGATGGATTGTGGTTTGGCGCATTGCAGACAGGCATGCACTTCACAGGTAACCTGCCTGTCAGCTTCCTTCGCTTGTTTATCTACCGATCTGTTATATGTGATGTCATATTTACGTCGATGCACTGTTCCACACACGATCGCCTGTACCGTAGAGCCGACACACAGTGGCTTTGACTTACTCATATGGCTAAAACTCGCCGTTACCAGTAACCCATCCGATTGTGCTGCACAGAGTGTATACCAGAAGCTCTGTGCCTCCTGAACTAAGAAACACCTTTGGATAATTTTCTGGATGTTTACATCGGTCCGGCATTTTGACGCTTTAGGTATCTCTGAAGATTAGCGATATACTCGGTTTTCTCTCGTATGTATCGGATCAGCTTGTTACTTGATTTAGTTAACCGCCTCTGGTGCTGATTCTGTCTCCATCTTCTGCGAGTCATTTCAGTGGTTCAAGTGCCGAGATGAGTTGATTCTGGTTATCATCATTTGGTTCGGTAGAATTGTAAAGTATTAACAACATTGATGTGGAAAGAGTGGAAGAACAATGCTGATGCCAGTCGTAGCTGATCTGCAAATAATGTTGGGCTTAAGGGAATGATAGCCGAAAGTACCCACCTAGTACCCAATTCCTCATAAACTCTCCACTGTGCCATATCAAGCAGAGCTTTCAGCCATCAGTAGATTCGGGCCAAGTGTCCGTCAAGAAAGGAGGCGTGAAACAGACTGCTCTTTTCACTCTGTGTTTCGTTTTAGGTCTACCAGATATTTGCTTATACCTTGCGTCCGATGGTCATGCGAGCTGGAAGCTTCTTCGTCTACTTCTGGTACTGTAACTTGCGCTTCTGACATTTCACATAAGCCGAACTATACAAAACTATGCGTCAAGCTTTTAAACTGTATTCGCATGAGTACCGAGTTCCCACCAAGCGGTTTTCTGCCTTCATATTACTTGTTCTTCTACTCTATGGCAGCATAGCTTACCTGCCATGTAAAACGACCGCATCACATTTATCTACTTCCTCCGGTTTGCGGAGCAGGATACTAACGAGACTGTTTTCCTACCCTCTATCCTTTGAGCAGTTTCATTAAATTTGGTACGAACTCACTCAGTATTGTCCGACGGATGGTCGAATTGCGCAAGCTATCACACCAACCTAAGGTTCAGTCTTATTTCGATGGTCGGCATTCACTTTGAGTACGCTATCGTTTTCAGTCCGCCTGCTTTCCAACCTCGCTTTTTGTTTGAAGAGTTTTTGGAGGGCACCTGACCACCCTCGCTGGCATCAACTCCAGAGCACCGACAGGACGCTACATCATGTTCTAATATTGTCTGATTCTCTTAATGATACGAATCCGAAGCCGCCTCTTTACGACCTGACTGTCCTACATGAACTATGGTAGCCACCTTCAGTCAACAACGGTCGCCTCGGTTTGCTGATTGTTTCTGTTGGGTGATAATATCCACTTTACTCTGAGCGCCGCACACCCAGAGAACAGAAGACTATTGCACGAACCGGAGTCTACAGCACAAGCACAACTGCGAAAAAGATAGCCCTCCATGGCTTGAAAGGTTCAAGGTAGGGAATTGCAGGTGAAGCACGAGAACCCGATTCTCAACTCGCAGGCGAAGTAATCGTGACGCATGAGGGAACTGTGACAGTGTGAAGACTGCAATGAATGCTTTTGATCAGGTCTATATATCAGGTCAGGGGAGCTGGTTTCTCTAATCCTTTAACAAAGCACCTTACTGTAACACCTGATACATCAGTTTATTATGCAACATAAGTGGGGTTTGTTCCGAGAAGCACTATGCAAATGAGCAAACTGTCTTGCCTCCCAGCTGATACGTGAAGAATGTCTGAACTTCCTCTAGATTTTCTTAAACCTGGTTGACATCTGCTGGGGCACATTGAGCAACGCGGTGCACATGTTCACTTGCACTGACTTTGTATTAATACTGTTAATCCGATTCTGACTCACTTCATCTGATCCAGCTTCATCGCTTTCACCTCCCATCATCTTTCCACTTGCACTGACTTCTCTTTGCTCGTCTATTCTTACAAGAGAGTGGTGGGGAGATTTAAATAAAATGAACAGAAATTCGCCACATCTAGACTGAATACTGTATTATAGAGCAAGTAGAAATGAATTCTGTACAACTCTTTCGAAATATGGTGAAAACGTTATAAAAGTTGTCAGCCGTGAATATCGTTGTCGTTCTAATGTAACATTTAAAATATCTGATTTACAATATTTCGGGATTCACAAATGTGATATGTCATTGTAAGTGTGCGGTCGTTCTCTGAATCGAATAGTGGCAAAATACAAATCTAACAACGTTTTGAACTGTTGCACAGATGTTGCCTCAATCACATGTTCAGGTAAACTGTTCCACATGTTTACCACTCTCCGTTCGAAGCACAGTGGGTGGGGAGCACATTTCACATCCGGCACGACAAGTTTGTATCTGTGTCCGCGTGTGCTGCATGGCCTTCGTAAGTGCAGCATTGGCCTTAGCACTGGGAAGTCACCGAGATGCAGAATACGGTAGGTCATAATGAGGTCGACTCGCACCCGACGGTAGGACAAGGTGTAGAGTCCTAGTTTCTCGCACCGGTCTTCATACCCAAAGCCATGTAAACTCGGGATCAGCCTGGTTGAAACGTGTTGGACCCGTTCGATCTTTTGTGCTTCGCCCCGGGTAATCGGAAAGTAGGTGGGCGAACCGTACTCTAGCATTGGTCTAATGATAGAAGAGAAGAGGCGAGTGGCAACCTCTTCAGACCATGTGCCGAAGCTACGTTTGAGCGCCGAAAGCATGCACAACCGGACAGTCGTCATACGCCCAGAAAAGTACTGTATGGCCGTTTCATCCTTTCGGAAATGCTTAGCAATGCACATTCCATCTTACTCCTGTGAGGCTAAAACCCGCAGCTTGACTGTTACCAGTCTGTGTATTAGACCACTGAGCTACGGTGGAAGGCAACAATCATCATGACTAAGTTACTAAATGTGATATAGCGCCGTTCACTATCTACTTTCACGTTATTGCCGTGCAGTGGACCGGGTAGCCACCTCACCGAGCAACGAGCTTACCAAACGTAAGCCACTATTTAACTTATGACCTTATAAGCAGTTTGGTCTGCGTACTACTTACAAGGGAATAGTAGGGGGGCTTTGAATAGTAGGATAGTGAACGGCTCCGCATCACATCTTGTAACTTAGTCAAGACGGTCGTTGCGGTCCCAACTAGCTCAGTGGTCTTTAACACGGACTGATGCCAGTCAAGTTTCGGATTCCATCTCCACTGTGGTCACATGGAATGCGCACTGCTGACAATTCCCAAAAGAATAAAACGGTCGCCTATTTTTATTACTGGTTTCTGTGTTCCGGCCGTTTGACCTGAATATCCAAATCCTTCTGGTTGTGGACTTGCTGCTCGGTAACTCCCGTCATGTGACTGCACCATTTCAACCGGTCATCCTCTGCATCCAATCACTGTTGCGGCCACTAATTTTTTCGCGTTGTATGTAGTGTGTATTGCTTCATTGCCTCCAGTCCTCGGGTTTTCATTTCATCTGTTCTTATTTGGCTATGTCGTTCTTCCCAGAGTACGTGATCCGTCTGAGAGTATCATATGCAGTCTAGCTTGGCATCCACAACAGGAGCACACCGTGTTGTATGCGAACGGCAATGGATCCCTTGGACTGGTACGAATTCCTGAGAGACAGGTAGGTTTTCCTTAGCAATTTTGTGTCTTCTCTACTTGCTCTACCTTGCAATTTTCGATAACCTTAACGAGTCTCGATAAGGTGCATCTGCCGCCTAGTGCTTTTCTTGATGTGTAGAAGAATGTCTGCTTGTGAGCTGCCTGCGACATCACAAATCCCCTACTCATGAGGAAACGTCCACCCCGTTTAATTTTTTCTCGCTGGAGTTAGTCATCGCAGTACTCGGTATCCATTATTGTCACTCCAAACTGACCTTGGATGCACAACACTTTCTTACTAAACGTATCACCATTGTGGTGTCACGCACTCTCTGACAGTTAAGTCGGCCAACTCATTTAGTTTGTTCATCACTTCACTGCTTGTTTTTGTCTTGATTGGGCGAAGTTTCACCAGGATCTCTTATATCATCTTTACTGCTCCTATCGGTACAGTTTGCAGGTATCTTCGAATTCTCGGCCATTCACTTCTTTTGCTATGCTAATCTCCCATTATCATTCCTCTGAACGGTAGACAAGGAATTTCGCTTTCCTCGTTCTTTCCATCAATTGTGTCATTCGCAACGAGGCTGGACCATAACGTGGTGCCGTCGCAACAAGGCTGGCCCTTAACGTGGTGCGACGGTTTGCGTACATCTTTGACCCATTGAACTAAACTGGGTGGTGCCTTCGGGCCCCTTGTGAGCCACTCCTACCAGGTTGGTCAATGGTTAAAAGTCGGACAAGCTCAGTCTCCCGGTCCTCCACTTTGGGGGTTTGAGATGGAGTAGCATCCATTTCCCTAAAACTAACTTATTGCCATCTCCCCGGTGCCTTGCGGACAGGCTTTTGAGCCAAAGGCTTTGGTTGCGGACTCTTATCATCCTCCTGTCTAGGTCTGAGCGCCCTGGCAGTATCTCAGCTCACATAAAACCATGACATTTTCTTCAAAAATCAACTTCATCCTGCATCGGCCGTCACGCAGATTATCAAGGGTCACCTTATCTGCTGCATACAGCAGGGCGGATAAACGAAAACATGCTACTGCTGGCGCCTCCACTCTTTCTATTCCACCCGTTTCTCTTACTTCCATCCCGATTCACATTACTAACCTTCCTTCTATAATTCCCAGCTTAATTGACATCAACCTAAGTGCCACTGGAGTAGAACCATCTGCAGTCACCGTCCCACAGCACTCATCGTACGTTTACCCGCAACAGTCTCTTATAAGGCTATCCCGTTTCCATGGCGACATTCAACGTTCGCATTGTAAGCCGAATAGGTTAACAGGCTGTACTCGCATGCACCTTGAACACACTGGATATTGGTGTGTGTTGTGTGTCCGAAACTAGGATCAATGACCCTAATGGGGTTGTTGAATTAACTGCACCCGACTTATCCTCTCGTTATTGGTTTCACGCATCCAGAGACACTGATGCGGCAGCCTCTGGTCAAACTGGGGTAGGTATCGTACTCAACTGCAAGGCTGTCATCGTTGGTTGATTGGATTCCGCTGAGCAACCGTTTGTATGCAGCCCCTTTGACGACATCGACCAAGGTTAACTCACGATGTAGCAATATATGCTATTTGTGGGTTCCGCTTATGCTCCCACCGGATGCAACTCTGATGCTGCCAGCGGCACACTAACACAAACTGAACACGCTACTATGCAGTGCTACCAGTTCAGATATCATAGTAATTACAGGGGATATGAATGCACAACTAGGTCGCCTGGGCTCTGCAGAAGCTCAGCTGCGTGGTAATTATGGGCTTAACTCCGACCATACGGACACCGGCGAGCGTCTTTTGCAACCGTGTGCAGAGCCCCAGCTGTTTCTTAGTGGCACTACTTTCAGACACAGCGGGCGCCGAAGTGCCACTTGGCATCCTGTAGCTGGCCAGCGATAGACCCAACTAGATCAAATTACCATGTTACAGCTGTCGTGGTTCCATCCTGAATTTCCGCTCATACTGGAATACCTTCGTCGACTCTGATCATGCCTTACTACGCTGTCATTTCTCCATGAGCTTTGTCGGGAGGCGCACTAAGCGTCTCCTCCGATTTCAACTGAGAAATTGTCTCTGTGCTCGGTCAGGCAAGTCTATCAAGACGCACTGCGTACCGAAATTTTGCTCCCCTGCCCTAATGACACTGAGCTTCAGTGGAATAGGATCTCGGTCGCCATGCACAACACAGGAGTATCTGCTTTTGGTACTATCAATCGTCACCGTACCAGTCACTGGATATCCGAGAGGTCGGTGAACCTGTTGGAATCCAGATTAAACCTCGCTGCTTGCTCTGGGCACAATGTGACCAGTCAGACTATTGGACGTGAACTAAAGCGAAGCCTGCAAGGTGACAAAGAAGCCTGGTAGACCACTCGGGCTTAATAAATGGAGTAGGCGGGAGTAGTAGGCAATTACCGCAAGCTTCCAGCTGATCCGCACCACTGGTCCCAGGAAACCAGGCGTCACTGAGACAATCAGAGACAGCGCGGGTGCTCTGCTACACAATAAGGAACGCCGTATGGGTCGTTGGGCGGAACCCTTTCAAGCTCAGTTTATTTGGCTCCCTGCTTCTGGACCTCTTTCTACTCAGTTGATTCAGGATGAGCCATGAACCGTTAGTTTAGAGGCTGCATCGGAGGTTGAGGTCCGACACCTGATACCAGCTCTTAATCGTTTTCGTGCTGCGGGCCCGGTTTCCCTGTCACCTGCACTATCTAAGCATGGAGGTAAGGTCCTCTGCAAAGCACTGACCTCCAAGTTCGAATATGTATGGAAGGAGGAGACCGTGCCGGTTAACTGGAATAATTAACTAATCTCGATTTTTCGTCTAAATCGATTATATTGGCACCATACAAGAAGGGCCGTCGCACCGGCTGTGCTAACTACAAGGGTCATTAGTCTAACGCCAGTTATGACAAACTTACTGGCCTCAATTCTCGTTCGTCGCCTCACTGCGGAGCGGCAATCTCAGGTTAGGGAAGAGCAGGCAGGTTTCCGCCCAAGACGTGGTTGTATAGACCACATATTCATACTACGGTAGTTGCTAAAGCAGCGCCACGCATACCGCAGGCCGACAATAGCTGTATTCCTCGACTTCAAGAATGCGTCCGACTCACTCGATCGATGCATTCTGTTTGATATACTTGCGCGGAAAGGTGCTCCAACGAAATATGTGAACATTTTACGTGCTCTGTACTCGAACACTACAGGCCGCGTCATGGTCTACGATGACCCGTCGGAAAACTTTCCGACGACAAGTGGCTTTCGTCGGGTTTGTCTAATTTTCCCATTTTTGCTCAATTTCGTTGTGGACTTCATCATGGAGTGTACCATTGCAAAATCTCACGATGTAGCCGTTGAGATGCTGCCTGGTGAAAGGCTAGTTGATCTTGATTATGCGGAGGATATCGTCTTTCTGTTTAACCATGTTGGGGCGGCGCAATCAACCCTGAATAGCATCTCTAGGGTATCCCATTACTTGGTATGCGCTTCGCACCTTCAAAGTACGAAGTATCGCTGCAGGACCAACAGTCACTTGATGATCCCTTGGCCCTAGATAGCCAAGAACTCGAGGTAGTTAATTGCTTCACTTACCTTGGCAGCTGCATCAGCAACAATGGGAGCATAGAAACTGAAGTCAGTCCACGTGTTACAAAAGTTAGAATTACCTTTTTGAATTTGCGTCATATTTAGCGACAGAAAGGAGTTTCCCACCGTCTGAAAGACCGTGTATACAAGGCAACAGTGAGGGCCGTCCTGCTATATGGTAGTGTGACTTGGTCTCTTCGGTCTGAAGATCTGAGGCGCCTTCAAGTCTTTGACCATAGTTGTCTGCGGAGCATTGCTGGTGTCAGGTGGCAGCAGCGTTTCCGCATCGATGCTATGCGTAGGCGAGTATTAAGCAGTGACAACCAAGCTAATTCCTTGGAACAACAGATAACACTGAGTATTTTTGTTCGTCGCAGTCAGCCGACAATCCAGATAAGTCAACTACCTACCCGGAAAAGCACCAGACGGCCGTTTCGCCCTATTGGGGCTCGTCAGTGGTGCGCATCCTTCGGTCTTCTACAGAGGATCGGACCCATGACTGCTAGTGGCTTGTGCCAACTAGCCCGCAGCTTATGCAACTGCGCCATGGCGGACGGTAGACGACCATCACGAACTGTTAGCTAACTGCGATATAGCCCGACCCATCCTCCACTGCCGTGCAGGCACCTGCCATGCAAATGACAGCGGTTGGCCTTCCGGTGTCAGGACTTCCCGGTTACGGCAGCTATGAATCGACATAGCATTTATGGAAACCGTAAGTGCAATTTTGTATTATAACACTGAATAAGTTGCGTTCGCTTGGGCACCTACTAAGTATGCCCGGTCACCAGCAGTGCCATAGACGTGGACACAAGAAAACCCACTGAACGTGCAAAGTATCGTTCAAACCAGCATACACTCCCGAAGACAAGGTCGCAGCAAGTGTACAAGGAGGGTGAACTTCACCGAAGATCTTAAGGATAGAAGGGAGTTTGTCACTATCAGCATCAACGGGAGATTGGTACGTTTGCAAATTGAGCGGCATCCGACATCACTGTTATTTCGGAAAACTTGTGGAAGATTGTTGGTGCACCTGACACCGGCCACTGGCACCGGCCAACAAGCGACCAGCACATCAAGCACCAAATTTAATTTAATCGGACAGATTGAATGTTAGTGCCGCTTTACCGATCTCATCACTTGGGGAAACATTTTCGTCACAAGTCACGAGAACTTGAACCTACTTAGGCTAAGTTGGATCGAACGTTTCAACTTTCTGGGTGTTCACATCAACCAGATCTGTACAAGCGCTCAGCCCCACCAGCTCTATGCTGTAAGTTCCTTGTTGCTGCCGAGACGCACTATCCCACAACAAAGGCACCCTCGAACGGAAAGGTACTACAATGAGCGACGCAGGACTCAAGCACGTCACTTTTCCGCGAGACAACGTGTCTTGATCAGAGACTATCGCGTTAGAAGTACTTAGTGGGTGATAGGATCGATCCGAGGAATGCTTGGTCGAGTACTCTGTAGGGTCAGAGTGGGTACTTTGATTTGGACCAGGCATCCTAATCAGCTACGGCCGACTAGCATCCCGGCAAGCAACAGTAATCAACTACTACCGCTATATATTTTACTGCACGATTATGATATGCCATCAAGTATCCCAAAAGCTTCGGATGCACCTCGCAAAGAAATTCCAGAAGAGCCGAAGTGCAACCACTGCACCGGTCTGATCTAGTACGCAGATCCTTCAACCTAATACAACTGGATCCAAGAGGGAACTTGTATGTTAATTTTCGCGGAGGTGTTAACGCGGCAGGCACCCCTTTCTTAGCAGCGAGGAACATTTGACCATGGCGCAGGCCGAAGCTTATTGGCCAACCAATGAGAGGGGGCTAATGATTACACTTCATCTTGTCCGCTGCCATTGAAATTAATCTGTCTTGGATCCCGCCAATGAGCGCTAGGCCATTCCCTTAATAACCAATGCTTAGATTCCATTATGTGATTTAGTTCTACTGCTTGCCGGGTGCACGATACGGTTTTCACCTGAGACCTTTGTCCTTTAATTTAGAAGGTTGGCTGGTCAGCTTGCGCGGTAGCAGAAGGTTATCCGTAAAGAAAACGGAAACCACAACACTTAACGAGGAGCACCCTGTTTAATCTACCAGGTGTAGGGTGCCGCGAGGCTCCACGTGGACATAAGTTCATTTGGCAGCGGGAAATGAAATCACTGACGACCAAACTAGGTGCCACCAGTCCGTCTCGCCTTCAAGGCTAGAGTCCACGTGCCACGTCTTGTGCTTGACTGAGGACCTTACAAGACATGGCTCGCAGTCGGCACCAGTGGTGCGTCTACCGCCGTCTCTTAGTCGGACTGCCTGTTTAAAGTGTGTGTGGTGCTGTTATCTGTGGGGTAATAGTTGATTGTGACGCGGGGCAGTGAAAGCCGCGAGGAGGCTATCTCGCTGGTGCCACCTTATCTTCGCACGATAGCCAGCTGTTTGTGATGGTTTGTGTTTGACAAGGTGTAGTCGCCTTCACCCTAAATGTTAACTTAGGACATTAAGATTTTTTGGCGAGTCCCTCTGATCTCCTTCTTATTATTCTCCGTTCCCTAGGTCGTTATGGTTGTATGGTAGTGAAGCATCGGTTCAAGTAGCTGATCTACTGCTGTAGCTGATGATGATGATGATGTTTGTAACGACGGAACAACTTAAACCGAGTTACGTCGCACGTAATGCATACAAATATTGCTATTTCGAGCTTTAAACCTGAACTATATGCACGGTCTGTGCAAAAACCGGTTGAGAAAGAAGAATTTGTGTTATACTCCTGCAACCGTCGTTCTGAAGCACGGAATAATTTACAAGATAGGACTCACGACTAGGTTTGCAACGGCGGCGGAAACAGGTGTCGGTAACAGTGGCGTTAAAAGCAGACCGGTGGCCTTGAGATAGTGTATTCAATTGCGGCAAATGTAAAATGACACAGGTTTGAGCATGTAATGGTCTAAAGCACGAAAAACATGTTATTAGCTCGGAAGGTGGAAAAAGTCATCAAGAGAGAATACTCGATCTCGTAAAGGAAATCAAGGTTCTTTTGAACTTTACATTCCCCCGGCGGTCATTCTTTCCTATGACAAGCCTCTTTCCGTCAGCCTCCCGGTATCGATTTTTAGTTGAGCGTTGTCTGAGAGCTGTTACATATTGTTCGCTGTTCTCACCAACGGCTTTCACCATTCCAAATTGGTCCTTGGGCTTTGCATCCTTTCGAGAAATTTCTTGGCGCAAACATTTTGATGTGCGTGAAATGTTAACTAACTCGATAAATATCTCTAAGGTGCCCAACGCTACCTAATCACTTATTTCTAGGTATGTCGTTAGTGTTGCAGCAACCTGACTTGCTCACGTAAGCAGCCAGTACAGTTCCGAATGGCTCTGAAAAGGAAAAGGTAATCAGGGCGATCGTACTTGATACACTGACCTCGTGGGTTCCGGGAAACACGCATTTTAAAGCGCTATTCTTCATCTTGTGGCACGTGTGCACCCCTGTCCAACACTGTCGCTGCTTCAAGGAAGTGCTTTCTTTACTCATCATGTCGACTTTTCCAAGTGACACATCATCACCGCCACTTAAAGTATCTGTTACAGCAGCAACCTGACGTCAACTGCTTGAAGCATTGTTGTGGTTGGCTCTTTTATGTGCCGTTATCTCCTGCAATCACGCGAAAAGCATGTTATTAGCTCAGAAGATGGAAAAAGGTGAGAATAGGCTCACTGGATCATCAAGAGGGAATAATTGCTCTGGTAAAGGAATTCAAAGTCCTTTTGGACTTTACATTGATGTACTGATGATGATGATGATCCTTTGTGTAAACACTCCCCTCAGCTTCCTGCCTGCGGAAACGCATTCTACCCCAACCTGTTTGCAATCCTTCTGACACACCGCGTTACGATGGGATCGCCACAGCTTAGCGTATTTCTATGCATTTACGTATGTTTTTATGCACTCTCAACACTGTGGAACTACCATATACTACGGTACCTGGAAGCATTTGTATATCCCTTCCACCAGCCCCTCTTTGTCGGTATGCGGAAGTGGCTAACTCGCTTTCTACTTTTGGCCATATTGGGTCGCAAGAGCGCGGTCACATCTGCAGTGCAGCAATGTGAATACTCAGTTACGTACCCATGTTTCATGAGGAAATTTTCTGATCCCCTGTTTTACCATGTTGGTAACTTCAATGCAGCTGGCGTCATTCATCGTCTGATTTGCTTTTACCACGATTGAGATAGAAGAATGCTTGCACCTAAATCGGCTACTGCTTTTTCCTACCCCGTCACCACCGGATTTTCTTCATACGTGCCGCTCAGTGGTCTCTCTACTTCTTGCTTTCCTTTATCCAGATAAATAGTAGTTGTTGGGTTTCACTGTCCGTCTAAGAGACGGTTACTTAAACTGTTCATTTTTCTCGGGGAACGGCAACGAAGCATTCGGCTCTGATGTTAGTAGACCGTCGGCTTCTCTAGATTTAGGATAGCTGTTGTGTAAATAATTATCCCACAGTCCGTAGTCGATGTCGAACCTGGAATGATTGCTAATCTAATTGGTGACTCCCCTTGCATCATGTTTTACCTTGTGGTTTCGATCTTTTCACTATCTCACCTTTTTACCAGTGAGACGTATATCTGATAGTCAAAGAAGGCACCAGTATTCTGCTCAGGGTATGTTACGCCTCTCTGGAATTAGTTTTCGGCCATAATTGCACCCAACAATCTCAAAGCAACCCCAAACACAATCCGTCTAAGTGAATGAGGGCTTCTCCGTTTACTATGGCATCCCTACCGATCAAACCGGAACAGGTAACTCACGATTGTGTCATCCACAAAGAATCCTACTACTACGCGACGCTCCATTGCAGATGGATTGAATAGGGCGAAAATGCATGACTGCATGCTACAGTGAGGTCTCATATCCGTCGATGCGGCCATCCTTGCACTACACGGCCATTGTTGCCTGAGCAACGCGACTGCCTAGGTGAACTTGAATCATGAGTTAGTCTATATGTTATATGCTCTGATCGCTTCCCCATTCATTGGTATAGGCTTTATCTTCTTTTTCACGGAATTATCATTGTCACTTCTGTGCATGTGTATAACGCATATCTATGCTTCTCTGCTCGTCCTCCAGCCTGCTCTTGATGGCGGCCTTTCACCGGATTCAATGAAAGCTTTGATGGGTTGCGATGAGGACGGAGACATGGATCAGCTGCTTCGGGCCGCTGCAGCACAGGCAGAGTCTAGTCGTCTTGTAGACGAAGAGGAAGCACAGAGGCTACTAGATCTTCCGGGTGACGATGATGATGTTGACTCGATCGATTTATCACGTATAAAATCTGGTTACCTGGTTATGGACGATGTTGACGACGGCGAGTCGCAACCACTAGGTGATGTGTTGGAGACGGAACCGAAGCCGCTGGATGCTATTCATTCCGTTCCGAATGCAACAGGACCGCCTCAACCCAGCTCAATATACTCGCAGCGTATTCAGAAGTCCTTCCAACCGGGTTCCATGCCTCAAGGTGAATACTTTTCTTCGACTACATCATCACCACCACTTCACTTTAACGAATCAAACTCCTCAATTCACACAATTATCCGGTTCTTATTACGTATTTCCTCTTGCATCTTCGAGTTCCTGAGGCTAACCCCGAATCGGATCGGTGGTCACCACTGCTGTCCTCTGATGAACTCGCTTTAATTCACTCGGTACTCACCCCTACCTTGTACTCCGATTTATGCCACATATGCTTTCCTAATTCTTGATCTGGAAATATTCATCATTATGCATAAGCTGCAATTGAGTGGCACGCTTCAACTATTGTGCCGCAATACATAAAGATAACGCAAACGAAAAAAGAAAGATGATACAAATTATATGGTTGGCGGCATCCGATTCCGGATTTGCCTGTCACTGTGGCCAGCCACAGGACGCCTGCGCCTACAGACGGACCATGGATGCCTTGCGCTGCACCACTCACAGCTCCATCCACACACCCCATATCCAGTGTAAACACGGAGGAATAAGACCTGGAGGCATGTGGATGCGAGCCAGGTTTCATCAACGGAGCCGGCCCACACTCCTTCACAGGCAAACACATACACATTGTCTTTAGGAATCAATCACACACAAGGCGGTGGCTGGACCGTAGTCCGCTCCACACTGAGTACATGGAACCACTCTTTCAGCCTAGCACGGCCACGTAGACCGTGCACCCCGTCCCCTCTAGCTACGACCAGCTGTCTCCTGGAGCCAGTATTGTCGAAGTAGTGGGTAATAGACAGGTAGGCACCTTGTCAACATGCACATCAAGCGCAGCCACACCGGGGATATCAAGCAACAGCCATTCACTTTAAACGACAAGCTGAAATAAAATAAATCCAATAATGCATACAGATACGGTGGCATTACTCTTCGCTAAATTGCCATATAAGTAAGTTGGTTAACAACGAGTCCGCGATAAGTAAGAAATGTCCACAAGCTACTCAAAAATGCTACATGGCATGAAGATAAATATTAAACAGGGCAGGAGCTAAGACAGCCTTGCTTCACACCAGAGGTCTCTCCACTCAGGTGCACCCTCGCCAGCATACCAATGTGCATACATTCACTTAAACTTACAAACCTACTCAATCAACCAAACCAAACCAACACCAGCCACAATGCCTCGTGGTTCACCGTATCGAATGCTTTGGTGAAATCAACAAACAGCGAGGACAACGGCTGGTGTCGTTCTCTGCACTCCTCCTGCAAATGACGAGCCGCAGACACCATATCTATAGTGCTGCGACCCGAACGGAATCCACACTGATCTTCCGCCACGTTAGGTTCCACAACTTGACTAATGAGGCGGATTCGGGCAATCATCTTACCCACACAACTCAGCAAATTGCCACCACGATAATTCGTGCAACATTGCTTGCTTACTTTGTGCTTGTACAATGGTAACACAAGGGCATCCTTCAGTTCAAGAGGCACCTCCTCAATCCAGACATATTGCATCAAATGATGCGGCGCATTCACCAACGCGGATCCGCCGTGTTTCAATACTTCAGATGGGATTCCGTCAGCACCGGCACATTTGCCATTTCGCAGTTGAGCAAGTACTCTCTGTGTCTCATCCAGTGTCGGCGTGCCCACCAGGCCGTTCAATGTAGGCTAGTCACTCTCTGAGCGGTTGTTCAAGAGACCGTCATAGTGAATTCACCAGTACTGCATTATGTCTGCAGTCTGTGTACAGCTAGCACCTGAGCTACCATCGATTAGCATCCTCAGTGGCTGCAACTTCAGTCCATACACCGCCTTCAATAAGTCAAAGAATTCCTCGTGTTGGCGGCGTTCATCGTAGCATTTCATCTGCTTCGCCTTCTCCGTCCACCATGCATTGTTAATACGATGCCGTTCGCATTCGCTGAACCAATGCTTGCGGACCGATGACATCTTTCCGCACAGATGCATCACGCCCAAAGCGCGCGTTGAAATCACTCAGCAGAAATATTCGGTCGCTCCTCGGTACAGACTGTATCACAGAGGACAACTGAGTGCATAATTGATCACGCGTGTCCTCGGGATAACACACATGCTTATAAAAATGGCAAATTTACCTCTTCCGAGTGGTAGGCGAGTAGCCATGAGTCGCGCGCTAATGCCACTCGACTCACCCACCAGCTGACCATTTAGGCGATCGGATATTGCAAATCCGACCCCATGTTCACGTGGTGCTGAGGTGGCGTTTCCCACCCAGTGGAACGTATAGCCGGCACCAGCTTCATGCAACTTACCTTGCTCAGCGAGCCGGATCTCACTGAGTGCTGCAATATCGATGTTGTAGCGCACAAATGTTGTGTCGGAGCCCCACGACTGCTTCTGCTCACTAACGGTAGGTAGTGAGAATACCAACGACCGGGCAACAAACAATATTCACGCAGCGCGCCAAACCGGCCACCAAGCGCCTGTCTGTGCAACTCAATCACAATATCACAGGCTATGCGGAAAGGCTAGCATTGGATCAGTCAAGGCTCGTCAGTTCAAAAAGCGGGGGATCGATAAGTTGCCTCACAAACGAACGAAATACACGCTCCCCGTTGTTTTGTGAGTTTTGTCCCACTCACTCCTCCTTACCCTGCCCTTTATTTTTGTTTCTCGCTACGTTCACTTTTGCCTCACATTTGTGATTAGCTTGTATGGACACTGAATCTTACGCTTATTAGCTTTTCTCTTACTTTGTGTATTTCGTTCGTTTGTGAGGTAACTTATCGACCCCCCGCTTTTTGAACTGACGAGCCTTGACTGATCCAATGCCAGTCTTTCCGCATAGCCTGTGATATGCCCTAATTTGAATACTGTGATTGAGTTGCACGGACAGACGCTTGGTGGCCGGTTTGGCGTGCTGCGTGAACATTGTTTGTTGCTCGGTCGTTGGTGTTCTCACTACCGTTAGTGGGCGGAAGCAGTCGTGGGGCTCCGACACAACAGATTCTCTGGATGCAGAAAGACTGACAATCGATCAATCAAAGCTAGTCATTCCAGGGGTGAAGGGTCGATACGGTGTCTCGCGAACGAGCGAAATGTACAGAGTAAGGAAAAAGCCATTAGTATAAGATTCAGTGCCATCCCAAGCTAGTCACATAGGTGCGGTAACAGGAAACGTATGTGGCGAACCATAAAAGAGGGCAGGGTGAGTGGGGCAAAACTCACAAAACAACGGGGAGCGATGGAGTATTCTTACCTCCGCTATAACAACAAGTTCCCTTCGCGACCAGTGCGGTGCGTCGCTCGGTGCGCTCACTAGAATTTCACACTAGTGTGCGCACGTTCCAGCACCCGATGTTGAGTACTTTGCGCGCAGGCATACGATTGTATTGGTATGTACTCGCACGTGGGGTGGTGGCGGTTGTGCTTCGGAGGCTTGCTTGAGGGACTCCGCCTGGGGCCTTTGGCTCAATAGCCTGATCCACAAGACAGAGGGTAATCTGGTGGTTTGCTTGAGGGACTCCATCTGTAGCCTTTGGCTCTATAGCCTAACCCACAAGGCAGTGGGGCGCAAATCCAACTATGGAATGTGATTGCAGAGACAGATTGGGATCTGCTTGACGGTCGTCACACGCAGCCTTTGAGGTACTGGAACAATTCATGTGTTTTGCGACCGTAGTAAGATACGCACCTGCGACCACGGCCAGACGCAGGTGGGTTTTGGCGGGTTTGCACCAATTTGACCAGGGGCTGCCTAGCTTGAGGTGGGCAGTAGCAAACCATTGAGCACCCGGAGGTGCCTTCCCACCGTCAGAGACAATGCGTGTCGCTCGTGCTCTACGCCAATCGAGCTGTGAGCTTATAACCCCTAGACTTGTTGTCTCCCAGGGCTAGGTTTTGTGGGAAGAGGGCCATCGACCACTTCCTGACCTTCGAAGAGGATGGACTAGGATACTGGCAGGGCGCCCACACCTGACAGGAGAACGACTCGGGTCCTCAGCCAAAGCCTTTGATTAAATGTACACCCAAAAGGCAGCGGGTCTAGCACATGGTTAGTTCACTGACTCATGCGGATTGGTGTCCTGAATCTTAGCAGGGAGAAGGGCGAAACCCAACTCCCACCCAGCGGTCGCCACGAGGAGGCGTCCAGGACATGAGTCCACAGCACAGCAACAACAGCAGTGGGTAGAGCATCTGTCATGATCTAGCCATCACAAGCCTCAGCGCACCATACGCTCTCCCGCCTGCTGAAAATTATAAAGTGCTAAAAAATCAGGCAACAGACTGTTTACTAACACATTAGGCATCAACAGGAAGATCTAGGTTAGAGGGGGAAGATAAGCGGCGTGTGTAGTGACAAAGAAACTCACTGCACAAACGCCATTGAGGTCGGCTCCTTGCCATGTCAACTAGTGTATCCAATCAAACGTGCTCATCTTCCTTCGGGCCCCAGCGAGGCAGTCGGGACACTCCAACCGACCGATTTCATTCCTCTTGACGAAGTCATCGCTTGGCCACTCCTCCTCATTCGGGATCGGGAAATATTAGTTTCACTATCCATCGACTTGACCACTTCTGAAATGACCGACAGACATCTTCCATCGAAACTGTGATTCACAAGATGTGGGGCTATCTATATTAGTTAAAACTTCTCTGTAGTCAGTTTGGGGAGTTTAATACTACAGTGCCATCATCACTGCCTTAGGGGAGATCATCGCCAAGCGTGGATAACAATTAAATGGACACCCAACGGATACTGTGCTAACGCTGTAAAATTACCGCTTGTGTCGCACTTGTGTATGTTTTTTCTGCAGATTAACTGGCACACTACTGGGAATACCACGCCTACTAGGTACCTTGCGTTACCCCTTGTTGATCGTCTACCTCGACATGTCTCAACATCCGTAAGCTAGAATGTTTGGGCCAAAGAACGCCGATTTGTCAATGCATTGTTGAAATTTTGTGGGGACACGCGGCAACAGCGCAAGGAGTTGATCCTCGCTGTTTTATGTTGACCTGCCATTTACAACTCGTGGGATCGACTGTCACAAGTGCCTTACCCTTAATCTCCACTTACCACAACTCCCACACTTGATCTTTATTTTTACAGTGGTGAGCTCCTAGCATTTGTTTATTGTGCTACTGGCTAACCGCTGCTGTAGTTTTCGTTTAGTTTTACTTTTGTATGTATAGTTTTGCCCTCTTAAATCGCGACTTGTGTCTGCGAC